TTGAAATCCACTAGAATATATATATATATATAACTGTGTGTGTGTGCGTGTGCAAAAGACCTGGCTCATTGTTGTGGCTTCTGGCATAAGTCCCTCGGGTCAGGGATTCGAATCCCGTGGCGCGAGCTCTTTGAACTAAAATCAAGCACACCGGGTTTTCAACTCATATGGGGGAATATGAGCTCTTTGAACGATATTTGGTACCCACTATACCAAATATCTATTTATATATATATATATATAATGCTAAAATATGAAACACAGAAAATAAAATTATTTTAATTTAATGTTACATGAAGTCATTAAAAATTAATCAATATAATTATGACGCGATGCATGTTCTAATGATCACTTTCATTTACTAATATTATTGTTTTGGGTGGGATTGAAGAGTCATGTTTGGCAATTATGTAGCTCAAATGCAAGTTCTTAAGCTAGAGGAGGAAACCCCTACCAACTACACTCCGGAGGTTAGCTCATGTACTAAGACTGTTGTTGTGTCTACATGTATCTAATCAAAATAATAAATGATACAAGAGTTAACAAAGCAATAAGAAAATAGAGGCACACCTACATTGTTAACAAAGGATATCAAGGACAAGATAGATCGACTAGTTTCATGACTTGGTGAATCTCAAGTTTCATGATCTGAGATGACAAATATATGAATTTTTTACTATGAAATGTTAACCATTTTTTTCACATATATCCATCACTCCTTCATGCCTATTATTTTTACTGTTATATCACTTTGATGTCATTTCATAGATCTTTATTTGTTGAAAGGCAATTGATCATTGCGAGATCACTGATCAATGCTGACAAAATTGATAATAAGAGGCTAAGACAAAAAAAAAATTACGAACTCAAGAAGAAACCCCTATTCTAATTCTGACTATATAGAGTAAGAGCAAATAAAGATTGCAAATACTATTTATCTACCATTGAGTCCCCTAAACCACATGGCCCCACACATTAATCTTGGCCAATGGTCAAGTTTACTTTAGAGACCTATCGATCACTTATTAAAAATATTAAATGTGATGTCTCTTCTTTAAAAATAGTGGCCCTTTCTCCAACATTTGTTGGTCCATCAAATCATCTCTACCTTGAGGCAAATAGAGATTTTACTTGCCATCTATATAAGAGTATTCGTCCTTGCTAGAGATGCATGCTTGTTGGTGAGTTCATTAAGTAGAATGTATCTAAGAACCTATAAGAATTAGAAATAAAAATATTAAGACTTCCATACATGAAAAACATTAAATAAGGCTTTTGTTAATTAATGATCATCAAGTTTGCAACTATTTGGGTAACTCTTATAGATGCTTTATGCCTCCCCAAAAGAAAGGTATGGGTAGAGATCTATAAGTCATCATAAGTCAGTTAATGTACTATTTTCCACCAAAATTATTAGCAAACCAAACCACCTTTTCTTGATCATGAAGGCCTTGGTATTGGTTTAAAATATTTATTGAAAGAAATACCTCAAAAATATCGTATTATGTAGAGCTGAAGGAAACAATGTCCATTAACCCTTTTCCTCCATAAAAAAATGTTTCATCTAAGGGCAATATCTGTATTAATCATGTCCCTACTCTTCGTAAGGAAAGTGTTTGATTAAAATGTGTGGAATCTCGACTCTTGTTTATCTGAGAAAAACTCTTGGATAAAGTCAATATTACCTAACTAGTTTGGATAAAATTGATGACTGATCCCAGTTGAATATAGTTGTGTAAAATTTATAAAGTTGACTCTGCTTTACAACGGTGCCAAAAACTTGATGTGGTATTTTATGAATAATAGTGCTAAACACTTAATGTTGGGATTCTACGCAAGTATACGTATCGTTATCAAGTAATATAAGACTTTCTATTTAAGTTCCAAATATCGATCCCACAAGAAAGGTGATAATAAATTAACTAGGAAGTTCACAAAAATACAACGAAATGACTGTCACTAATTTCGAGTGTTTTAAATACTATCAAAAGTAAATTATTAAATATTAGCTGAATTTAAATGCAGAGTTTAAAATAGTAACTACTAAACTTTGTTTATGTGATGAATTTTTCTTATATGAAAAAACATCTTTCTCACTATAATGAAGTTTTTATGAAATGAGATGAGATAAATGGTCTAAATTTGTATTGTGTCAAATATGAGCAATTTTAATTCTCTACCCTGATTCAGTGTTATATAAAATCATTGGCTAATCTTAAGTTTAGTCCATAAATTCGTGGCTAGGCTAAGAGGATACTGGCTCACACTTCCCTTCCCCTGAAGGCCAACTCTCGCTTTAGTTTTTAAACACAAGATTGAATTGAGATTTTAAACACTAAGATT